GCGTTATTAGATAATAGCTAGATAACTAATTAGCTTAGAGTAGAGTAGATAAAGTACTTTAATTAGTATATAGCTACTNNTATAGCTAGAGTCTATTAGCTTCTTATTCTTAATAGTTATAGTAGCTACGCTANNCTAGAGTTTAACTANTACTACGCTAAGAATAAGATTATTACTCTCTATATACTACCGCATACGTCGCATCTACTCTAGCTACTTAATATAAGCTACTTCTTACCGCTTAAGCGCGCGTATAGACGTAAAGTTAAGAAGCTTACCTATAAAGACGTCTACTATATTAATAAGATAGACTTTCTTATAGTCTATATAAAGATCTAGCTAATAGTATTTATATAGTAGAATATCTAGACTAGCTTTTAAGTAATAGGCCTTATCTCTTCTTATCTAGATTATATTCTATCGTTACTTATAGTAGCCTAAACACTATCTCTACTATAGATAACTATAAATAATAATACTATAGCATAGATAGTATTATAGATAGAGACGCTATATATAGTAGTAGAGCTTTAGTAGTAGGTACGCTATCTCTAAGAGTAACTACGCTACTAGCTAGAGAGTCTAACGAGCGTTGCGATACGCTAGCTTACTAAAAGCGCTTAGCTTATAATATAGTTAGTAATAATACTTATAGAGGAGAATAAGAAGCTACGTATAGAAGTTTAGCGTTAATAATAAAAGTAGAGTTAGCTATATTAATATATTACTTCTAGTAGAGTACTCTAGGTATAGTAGACTTAGTAGCTTACTATAGAGGTAGAAAGGATAGTTATAGAGGCTAGCTAGAGCTAGAGTAGTAAGCGACGTTAGCGCGCGCCGCTAATATATACGAAATACTATACTTAAGAATATACTTAGACTTTATATAGAACTATATAAATAATTATTCTTCTAAATTTTATTAGATTTTATCGCGTTATTGTAGCTTAATTGCGTAGAGTGTTGGGTTAGGTTAGGTAGAGTGCGCAGCTTACTAGGGTGCGCAGCTTACTAGTGGAGCACGTTAGAGGTTAGAGTCTTATATAATCGCTACTCTACTCTACCTCTACTTAACTCTTAGTAACTCTACCTCTACTTAATCTCTACCTAAATACTAGTCTACTCTATATTCGTTCACGATAGCATGTAACTACAGAATGGTTAGTAGGCTAGAGAGTAAGTTAAGATAGTAAAGCTAAAGACTTTAGCGTTAGAAGGTTAATTTAAAGTGTAGACTATATAACCCGGTAGTTTCTCCTACTAGTAATAAGATTATTAAAACGCGTCCTACCGGCCGTACGTCTTAAGCGATGTTTACGCAGTAGTAGCGTGCTAAGATGTCTACACAGAGCTAGACTAGTTATTACATACCCCTCTACCTCTAGATAGGGTAGAGGTTGGGTAATGGTCGCACGGACTTAGGTAGAGGTTAGGTAGAGTTATATTGTCTAATCTAACTCTACTTAACCTCTACCTAAGAACTATACAACTCTACCTAACCTCTACCTAAGTCCGTGCGACTATTATCTAACCTCTACTCTATCTAGAAGTAGAGGGTATCTATTAACTACTAAGAGTATTTATTACGTTTATTAATTATAGTAGGGGTAGAGTAGAGTATTATATAATTACTACTCTATCTCTACCTCTACCTAAGGCCTATACGACCCTACCTAACCTCTACTTAATCTTAGCGCTAAGAGTTAGGTAGGGGTAGAGTAGAGTTGCTAAGAGTTAGGTAGGGGTAGAGGTAGGGGTCTTACCTAATCACTACCCTACCTAACCTCTACCTAACTCTTGGCAACTCTACCTCTACCCAACCTCTACCTAAATACTAGTCTACACAGGGCGGTACGCACTATAGCTAAGAACTGCGTTTGCTAGTCAATTATCTAGCTTCAGACAGCTTTTATTCTCAGTCTTACAGCCTATATCATGCTGGTCGCTGTTGCAGAGAACTGCGTTTTGCACCTATTGCGCGGGGAGTTCACCGCCCCCACTTTGCGTAATTTTTCTATGCTTCACTTAATTAATTAGACCACTAAGGAATAGCTAGGTATTATTATTTATAAAACATATTTCTTAATACAACTATAATAACACGCCAATTCAGCGCATATAGCGACGCGGTACAGTATATAATGCCAGATTATTTAAACGGTCAACGCCTATCCCAGTTACGTGCATTGCTTCGCTTTGCTTATTAAAGTTCTCCAACTTATTTTTAGTGTAAAACATTTTTCACTTCCACAAGATCAAGGTCAATAAGAAAGCTAGTATTTTTAGCTTCAAGTAATGCAATAGCTCTCTGTACATTTATTGCCTCTTCTTTAGAGGCTTCGCGTTATTCTTTGCAATAGTCGATCCCTATAATAGCTGTCAAAACTAACTTTGAATAAAAGAAACTGATTCGAACCCTTTCCCGGGATCTTATTGAAAATCCAGTAACTTATCTCGCTCGTTAGTCTCCATCGCTCTTGTTTTTGTAACTCCAATTCCTCGGCCCCCTCCGCTTGTAATGCATGGATGGTGGTTGCCTTGGCGCATTACTGAGCGCCTTAGCGTTTCCCGTGTTTTGTGCCTGCGCCGCTCCACCTCCCCTGCGTTACACTTTCCTCAACAACATCCATCGACTCACACTGCTCCATTTGAACATAGCGTCGCGTGGCGGCCCTAGCATGCGATTCCCCAGAGGGGGTACGGCGGCCGGAGGACGTATTGAACGCGCCAAAATATACGTTATCCCATTCACAGATCACTCTGGGCAAGAAGCGCTTATGGTGTTCCGTGGCGTGGTGTCCTGCCCGCTCCCACCGCTTTACAGTTTCGCCATCTACTTCACACATCCCGAAGTGACCCCAGAGACTGTCAAGCCGGCCGAGGTTCTCGAAGCTATCATGCGCAAAACGCCGTGGGACCCGTGTCCGATCCGTCTGGAACTCTACTTTCTTTCTGCGCCCGACGTGGATGGCAGTGATAACGACTGTATCGCTCATTATCGCAAAGAGAAGGCCGCACGGGGAGATTATATACGTCACATTCAAGATCTCGAGAACTCAGCCACGGATGATGATGAAGAGCAGCAGCAAGGCGGAGCGAGCGTTCATGGCAACGACCAAGCCAGACAAGTACCTGGTCTAGTGCCTAGCTACATCGATAGTCCATTTTCTGACTATTATCACGGAATCATCTTCCGTTATCCACGCGCGGATTGGTCTACGGACAAGCGTCCAGCACGCCGCATTTGTTTTGATCGAATTTCCGAGGAGGAATATGCTCGCGCAACAGAGGGAAACGATGAGTTTCATCGTCTTCCTCCGGTACACGTTTCTCCTATGCCGTTCCAGGAGAGCGACACTACTTATCTAGGAGAGACATTTGTGGGCATGGCTATGTTTGACGTTGCACATGCAAGAGTGAAAAACGAGACTGGTCACTGGTGGCACGAAGCGCGGGAGCGAGGCTGGAAGTCATGGTGATGACTACTATGTTTGCACTTGTTCGCTCTGTGAACCGAAGGGATCTACTCAGCAGTGGTTATATATCGCAACAAAGTCTTCTAGCAAGTGCTTCGTTTGTGTACACGACTGTTGATGTATTCGCCGATCGTGCTCCACCGAATTATATACGCTACAATCATTGTCTACAAAACTCTCACCTTAAGAATGTACAAAAATAACAAATCGTCGATAAAAATTATCCTCAGAATGAGCCTTGCCTCAGGCCGAAACCCCTACGCAGTACGCATACGTCGGCCAGAAATTGGTAGCACAATCGTTTTGAATCGCCGGGTTCCTTCAATAAGTTAGCATCTTCAACTCCGCCCAAACTCAGATTGTTTAAAGGAGAGAACACTTACCACTTGTAGAATTGGTCGAGCGTGATACCATGATCCTGCGTGTTAGACCAACACGTATCACTGTCTAGTCAATTGTTAGCAGTGCATCTTAAGGTAAGCAGGTGAAAGAGTGGTACTGACCTCCAACAACATGCCATTCATCACAATTCTCGACAGTACCGAAGTGCGTTGGGCCTGGAGCGCTTGGGGCCGTTGGACTTGGGGTTACTGATGTAGTTTTAGTTTTAGTTGGCGTTGGTGTTGTAGTCGGCGTATCAGTGCTAGACGCGATATCGGTAGGCACAGCATCTGTACTAATGCAGTACTGATAACCAAGCCATAAGTTACTACAGTTAGCACCGACAGGAGGGTTCCTGGAGATCGCATAACGTCAGCATAAGCTTCGCGTGAGTGTGTAAAGGGCGGTTTGCGTACCATTTGAACAGCTGTGCTATGGTTATTCTGTTCAAAGCCAGGAATGATTTGCAAGTCATCGGCGCGATAGCGGCGTTGTACTCGACGCATCCCTCGATTGCGCCCTCCTGCATATTCGTTAGTCTTTTGTTGAAACGAGCAATTCCAAGTCGTATAAAGACAACATACCCTTATTGGATAGCTCAATCTAGTATCTTCAGGTAAAGAAGGCTTAGTGACCGATGCAGCGTTATAAGCTGCCATGCAATAGCGAAAGTCTTTCGATGGCGCGCAACTTGTAGAGTTAACGTCAAGAGAAAGATTCCTAGATACGATAGTCAATACCAGTTCTATTCGCGATAGGAACAACTTCGATCAGAGATCGAAGGATAAAATAGTACTTACCAGTTAGCAAATTGCTTCAGTGTTATCGACCATCCTTAGATAAGGGCGTCGCATGCAGACTTGAAACCAGGCAGAATATCTTCATCCACGGCGAGATCTGCGCCGTTCATGAAAAGATAACAATCTCTTCTTGTTCCCTTGGCGAGCGGTGCGGCCGTAGGCAGACCCGTAATCTTGGGCGCAGTGAAGGTTGCCTTTGGAAGATTGCTGTAAGGGATCTCTGGAATCGATGATTGCGGCGGTATGTAGTCGGGGTGACCGGGATATTCATTAATCGGTCCTAGAGACTCTACACAATAGCTTTCAAACGCGAAAAGATTGGTGCAGTTATCGTTGATGCCTTGATTGAGGAATCGGAAGTCGACGAGGCTGATGCTGAACTTGAGGATGAGGAGGTTACAATACCCATCCGGTTGAACTTGATAGAATTTCGCACAGCGGCTGTTTGTACCATTGGCAAGATCACCAGGCACTGGAGCCATAGTTGGCGTCGCAGTAGGGATTGGTGTAGTAACCATAGTAGTCGTCGGGTTAGGTTTGAAATCAGCATCGCCAGGTGGCGACACGCAGATGGAATCGCCCACTGATTTCTCGATTTTATTACATAGATATCCAAGGACAGGGTTCCCTGCACAAAGAAAAATGGGTTAGCTTCCATGCGGCAAGTATTCAGCACATGAGTAAGGAAGCAGAGACTTACATGTATATAGCTGAACCTAGCTCAGTCTGTTGCTTTTAGCAATATCTAGGTAGGTATCATTCGCCTAAACAATATATGTCTTGCAAGTGTTTAAGATACATCGATCTCCACTTTTTAGAAACTTAGTATAAAAAGATGTAAGATTATTGTTAGCTAGTAGCTAACTTATACCTGTTCTCTAAGCTTTAGAGATTAATTAGTATATGTCGCTAGCTTTAATACTATAAATTTTTCTAGAAAACTTAGTTAGCGAAGTACTCGTAGAACTCGCCCTTTAAGAAAGTTAGTCTTAGCTCTTAGACGACGCATAGTAATCTATATACTTAGGAAAAGAAGCAGTTAAGCTTACTAGCGGATAGGCTAGTCACTAGGTCTCTACCTCGGGATCGTTTTTCTTAATTTACTCCACTAATACTTACCCGATTAGGAAGTTTAAAAGCTTATTTTAAAGCTCTCTATTAGAGCTCTACTTTAGTATATTATAGTAATAGACTAGCTACACTAGGTAAAGAGATATTTAAGATCGGAGTAAAATGTAGAGACCTAACTCTTAGCAAGGTAGGTAGGTGTAAGACGTTTTAGAGTGATTAGGCACGGGTAGAGTGAAATAATAGTAGTCTTAAGTAAACGGTCTATATTTTACGTAGACGAATAGCTACTAAGCTTAGGTAATATTCTTTGTGCTTATATCTGCTTTAATAAGTTAGATATAACTAAGATAGGCTAATAAGGGCTAGATTAGCCCTAGATAGTGCAAGGTGGCTTAAGGAGGGTAAGCTCCTAACAGTAGGCTAATAACTTCTTACCTATTAGAGTTAGCCTATTACTATACTAAACAACAAAAAGCCCTAACAGAGAGCTTTAGAATAAGCTACTCAACTTCCTAATTAGGTAAGTATTGGTGGAGTAAATTAAGAAAAACGATCCTAAGGTAGAGACCTAACTTACTACGCTAGAGTTAAGTAGATATAAAGATAGAGATCTTATATAATTACTACTCTACTTAATCTCTATCTAACTCTTAGTAAGTCTATCTCTACTTAATCTCTATTTAAATACTAGTCTAATTCATTAACGTAATTGTGACGATACCTGGCTCAGCTCCACCTAGGCCACCACGTGCCCAAAAAGGTACAGTATACTGCATTAGGAGTATCTGGAGCTGAATAGCATATACGTGTGACAGTAATAAATACACTTAGTAGTTAATTAATATACTATATCTCTAAATAGAGTAGAGATTAAGTAATAGTTATATAGACTTAGATAGAAGTTAGGTGGAATTATATAGATCTTAGATAAAGATTAAATAAAGTTAGATTAGATAATATAACTCTATCTAATCTCTATCTAAGTCTATATAACTATTTTCTAACCTCTACTCTACCTAGAGGTAGAGAGGTACTTAATAACTAGTTTAGTTTAAAATCAAGTCTTGTAAACTCTTACTTAGTTTTTTACTTTAACTATATAGTTATTATTCTAATATCTAATTTTAGTAGGTTAGAGTATAGTCTACTATTCTTTTTTAAGATAAATCATCTAATACTCTATATAGTAAATAGAGAGAAAAAGTTGAGTTATAGACACGTGGTATAGGGACGTGATATAATTAGGTGCTTTCACTCCACGGGCGCAACTTATTACAATATTTATATATGACTTTAAGCTAAGAAGCTTCAGGGTATAAACTATATACGTGAATTATGTGTGTGAGGTGCATGCGCGAATATACTTGTTAGCTAGTACAGTATTTCCTAGTGATTATAGAAGCTTCTCTACAACCTTCATTATTTCGACTAGCTCCTCATCCATCATACTCTTTCCTACAATCTGCACATGTGTTGGTAAACCTTCACACTCCTCTGGCTCATCTGTCTTCACGTCAGTCCAAATTCAAACTTCAAAATTCTTCTTTCTGCTGAAGCCTAGCGGGTAGATGAATAAGGACTTACATGGGGGCTCATATATCACACCCTCCTTCACGAACTCCTTGTCTTGCTCCTTATCAGCCTTGCCCACGTTCAGAATGCCGCTTGGATAATTGAGCAAATTGACAACGACTGTGTAGATTGGCAGACCATAGGTGTCATGTTTTGGTGCCACGCTTTGATATCCTGGCATGAGAATCGCATCGAGTGCTTTCTGGATAGTGCCTTCTTCTGCCTGCTCACCAACCATGAGTTTGTGGAACTGGTTGAGTATACGGCCCTTCTCTACATTCATGTCCCACAACTCATCCAGACTTGCCTGCCAATCCTTCAATTCAGGGAAACCGGCTGTCGCGATCGATGGAATAACCGGCTCACCGCTTGCCTTGATGTACTGGAAAGGTGTTTTGCGGGGGTCAAGCATAAAGAATTTCCACGCCAGCATAGCTGTCTGGTACAGATCTGGTATCTTCTCGTCCAAAAGTACAATCTCGTGTCCCTCAGCTTTCAATTTCATAGCCGTAGAGTGCAGCGCTCGGGCGATGGGCGGATGCAAAGGTCGTTCTTTGCAGCCACGGATTAGTCCAAAGCGCAAGGGTTGCGTGGATGGCTGCACGGAACGCCAGGGCACGTTCAGACTATTTGGATCGAGAAGCCAAGGCTGTGTGCTGCTTACGGACTGGAGAAATAGGGCAAAGTCGCGGGTGGTGCGGCCACAGGGGCCAATGACTACGGGTACTGAGCCAGGAGAGCCTAGACGACCGACAGCTGCTCCACCGGCAAAGGGAACACGGCCTGCCGTGGGTTTCAGAGAGGCGCCGCCGCAGCATATGGCAGGAATGCGGTTCGAGCCGGCAACGTCCGTGGCTACGCCCATTATGCTGCCTTTCATGGCAATGAGTGCGCCTTCACCACCAGTGGAGCCGCCGGCGGTATGCGATAATTTATTTGGATTCAAGGTGCGCCCAAAGATGTTGTTTTGACTGTCTGCTGTCATCATGGTTTGGGGTAGATTGGTTTTACAATAGAAGACTGCACCGAGGGAGTGTAGGGCGGTGACCAAGGCCGAGTTCGTGGCAGCCGGGGGATGGGGGATGAAGGATACATATCCGAGTGTTGCTTGTACGCCTCGCACATTGAAAGAGTCCTGTTAAGCGCATCTCAGTAATAGGTACAAGCCGGTGTTTCGGCACTATGAATTCTGAACGTCGAAAGGGTTGCTAACAACGCCTTCCGTTTGTGAATTGCACACACCTTCAGACTGATGGGTAACCCGTGCAGCGGTCCCAGCACCTTTCCTTCTTTCTCCAAATACTCATCGCACTCTCTTGCCCTAGCCAATGCCTCGTCGAACATAATCTCTGTAAGACAATTAACACACTGCTGGGCGACTGCCGCTCTCTTGCAAAATGCTGTCACCACTTCCATGCTCTTTAACTGCCCCTCAGACATCATCTTGACCAGATCTGTAGCATCATAATTCTCGGTGATATCTAGCTCTTTCTCTGTCAAAATACCACATGTTCGAGGTACGTCTAGCACAGAGATGCTCGAGGTTTCAGTGTACTGGGATGTCTGAGATGTGGGGAGAAGCCAGTCTTTTGGGATTTTGGCGAAGACTGATTCTCGTTTCGATTTGGCCAACGCTTGCCAGTTAGCTATGGGTGGTGCAGACGCCATCCTGCCCTTTTTTAGTAAGGTTAAGAACCTGGGTAGAGCGAAATTTATAGGAGCAGCAAGACTATGATATACAGGACAGAGGCGTATTCTGCTGTACACTGCTGGTGAGGGGAAATATGGGGAGCCGGCCGAAATTGCCGTTCGGAACAAGGTTCGGAATCGCCCAACGGCGGGGATATTGCGGGTATGCTACAGTCGTTCGGCAGGAAGTTAGGTCGTTCGCCGCGGATTGATCACTAGCGATTGAACAGAAGCAGCACATGTGGGAAGAGCTTTGTCTTTCACAGAAATGAAAAGTATGTGATCCCTGCCAGAGGTTGCTTGCAGGCTGACATTGCCAATAAGCTGCAATCCCGGACATAATGTTGTTTACGAAAATAAGCGGCTGGCAAATGATCCCGTGGTCAAGTTTGCTCATGTGGAATAGATATTTTAACCAAGCCGCCGCTCATTCCTATCATACGGAGACTTGCTTCGAGTCTCTCTGTGACGTCTGTGATCCCTCGAGCGCGATCTTGATCGTTTTCCATCTGTGTCGCGTTCGCGCCTACGTTCTGGACGGTCTTCTCGTCGCTTACGCTCACGGCTCCTTGACCGATGCCTTCGTCGGTCATCTCGGTCGTCATCTCTCCGCCTGTCGCGCGAGCGTGAACGGTCCCGGTGTCTGTGGCGTCGCTCTCGGTCTCGCGAACAGCTTCGTGTCCGATGACGTCTCCTCCGCTCTCTGTCGTCGTCCCTGTGCCTCCTGGAAGGCTCCTTCTTCTCCCTCCTCTTTGCCCGGTCCTCATCCTCGCCCTTGTGGGCTTTCTCCTCCATTTTATCCTTCACATCAGCCTCGTGGGCCTTTTCACCTAATGGTGTCAGGTTTGCGTTGTTCCGCACTGGCACCGGGAGGCCCATGGCAGCAAGCATCGCGTCTTCCTCTGCCTCCTTCAGTTTGCGCTTCTCTTCCTTGATACGCGATGCTTCGGCCTCTTTGGATTCAGCGTCGCCTTTCGCGTACCAACTAAGGTCGCGGCCTTGTTGCCAACGCCCAACAGGCGCCATGACCGAGTGACCGAGATAGTTTTCACGTTGCGCATCATTCTTGACATCTTCCCATTTAAAATCACCGCGGCCACCACTGAGCCATGATTAGCTAGACACAACTGAGATGTGATACTGGAAGTCTTACCGGCTACCTTCTTTGCGTACAGTTTGAACAAGATCCATCGTGAAAAATAGGGTTGAACAGGATTGAAGATGGACGTGAGGATTAGATTGTGAAAGTTGCGGGCAACACGGAGGTGAGAGGCCCGAGCTCCTGCGCGCTTCCCCACGCGCGACCGCGGTCCAGCTTCAAGGAAGTGCACAACCAATCCACACATAGACTCTCGCAGTCACCTCCATACATCATCGCCAGAATGCCACCGCCACTCCCACCCCCAGACGAGCAGGAATTCGACCAGCCCCAGCTTATCGGCGGCTTACCCACCCCCGACCTACATGCAGGAAATAACCTCTTTTGGTACTTTACCTCGTCACCCTGGTTCGACTCTGAATGCATCAACATCGATGTCTATCTCAATCTGCGCCAAAACGACCCGGTTGTTGCGGAGAAGATTATGAATGATCCAAAGTTGTGGCAACAGAGACTTGACGACCAGCCCGAAGGAACCCAGTACGTTATTGCGGGCGAAGGCCAGGGCGAAGGCCACCCGTGGCTTCTGCAACGCCAGCACAAGGTGCGCGTCACAGAGAATGACAAAGAACGCATCGAAAACTTTGTCGAGGGCAATTGGTATACCCACGGGACCAAGATGCTCATGGCGCCGAGCTTGCTGGATATCGTGCAGAGCAGAATGGTAAGGTTCAACGGAAGATGGTTGTGCAGAACAGATATCTGACATGTCTCGCAGCTTACTGTTTCAACGCGCATGCAACAGATGGCCGAGCTTTCCAAGAACATGACACATTGGACACCTGCAACCGGCTACTCGTACTTCCCCCCTTCGTTCGAAACTGCAAAAGCGACGACTACAGCGAGTCGAGTCGGCAGTCCAACGCTAGCCCCGACAGATGCAGACGCCCCAGGCTCGCAGTCACAAGGCGCAGGTGTAGCCGCACAGGCCACAGATTCAGCTGCTTCAGCCAATGACTTCTCTGACGCGCTCTTCATGCACTCGCTCAACCTCACAAACGCGTATGGGGACGAGTACATGGATGAAAATCCGCTCAAGGGCGAACCCGGCGCCTTTGTCTTTGAAGGTACCAAGACAGCCGTCACTGCCAGGAACAAGGCGCAGGAGCAACAGGCGATGCAATCAGTGCAGCCAGCGCCAGCAGCTCCTACTGAATTGAAAATTGACACCACAACGCCAAGTGTAGCGCCCTCTGTAGTGGCTACACCAAAAACAGTGGCAACTCCCGGGGCGATGGAAGGCCATAGTAGGAAGAGCAGTGTAGCGCCTGGATCGAAGAAGAAGAAGGATAGGCGGAAGAGCCAGGCTGGACTAGCTAGTCCAACCACACCCAGTGTGCCCCAAGCAGGATAGCCATTATTGCGCCATCATTGTGAGCGATACTCTTATATGTTGTTTTTCTTCGTTTGGGCTAGTACCTGACTTGTCTTTTTTTTCTTTTATCCAGTGATACCCTCTAAAAAAAATCAAAATATGCATATGTACATAACAATGAATCAATACGTCTATATTTCTTCTCCAGACGTCCCAGTGAACATCAATGCAGAGAGATGGACATGGGCCAGACCTTTCGGCTTCCACTACTTAATTTGGAAGAGAAGAAAGATGCAAGATGATGAAAATCATTAAAAGAGACATCAGTGAAAGAGGGTGACCCGCACCATCGCACCAGGTATCAGGCATGCACATTGTATTGCCTTTGGGCCCAAAAAAAAACATACATGTGCGAAAGAGAATTCAGAAATCTATTCAATCTACAGGTAGTTATTAAGACAGTTTGTATAGGAAGAAAAAACAAAAGCCAAAAGCAGCTAAACAGCAGAAACTCGCATATATATACAAGATATTAAAAGAAAGCTATGGATAGTAATATGGGCTATTTGGATGAATTCATCACATTTAGAAGAAGCAAAAGTTGCGAAGTGGTTGAGTGGGTAAATCCCGGATCCTACGCATAGCACCGGTCGTCTGGTTGGTGTTTGATGTGCGACGACGAAAGTGCAATGCGACTTGGATCTCCGTCGGATACGAGTCTTGACTAACTAATCATCCCTAAGAAGCGAATTGTGAGGGGAGTAAAGAGATATCCCTCTGATGCCAACAGAAAAAAAAAGAAACCCAAATATAGAACTCCATTCCAGATGCCGCTTGCTTCCTGTCATATATCACCATTTGCAGTTTGGTGAAGTTCTTCACCGAAACAGTTTCTTTCGTCCGTCCAACGAGATAAAAAAAAAGCCTCCAGTGCAAGAGTCCCAGAAGCTGGCCTAACCACACCAGTAAAGTAACAAAGGAGAGATACCAAGAGATAATGTTGAAGAGTGGAAAAACGATCGAGTCGTTGGGGTGTTGCAGGTGAAGCTGAGAGTGTACAAGTGAAAAGGTAAAGAGGAGAGATAGGAAAGTGGTATCTCTAGTAGGCTACAATTTGAAAAGGTGGTTAAGGTTGAGCATCGTAGAACTCTTGCTTCCCCAGGAATAACGTATTCCGTGAAAAAAAAAAGTATAGGAAATAAGGAAATGGAAAGTTGTCAAGACTACAAGTGGAAGGTTAAAGTGCCTTACCACACCCACTCAAGGTCGCCCAGGTCATCATGGGCCTGGGCATGATCGGCATGGGAGCGCCAATCTTTGCTCTTGTACCAGTTGTCCACTTTCTGTTCCCAGGAGCCATGGTTGTTGTTCTCGTTATGGCTAGAACCCCAGTGGATTGGTCGTCGTCCAGCCCCAGTGCGGCTCCGCTTCCTGGCGGAGTTCGGAATGGGTTGAGCTTGTTTGGGCGACTTGATAGGCTTGGATGGAGTTTGTTGGGCCTGCACAGCGGGACTACGACGGCGATCGCCAAGAGCAGCCCACTTGTCGGCAACCGAACGCTTTGGAGGAGTGTTGCGGGTAGCCGCTGACGAACGATGTTCCTCAAAAACGAATCCGGTGGCTGCACTGACGTGGTCGACAGCAGTGCGGTGGTTCTTGGGCGTGGGGCTCCTGCTGTTGTGGATGGAGATGGGGTTTTTCATCTCGGACAAGCCGCCACGAGGAGTCGACACGCCGGAGCCAGCTTCGGAAACAACAGGCTTGGACTTGGGCTTCTCAGCACCAAAGGAATGACAGTTGTTTTCGAGCTCGGCAAGGAACTGGGCATCGTCGTCCTCTTCTTCCCAAAGATCGCTCCAGCTCTTGGAGATGACATCACGCTTCTTGCCAAAGACAGAAGACATGCTGTTGTAAGGCTTGGTTGGAAGCGAGCCAGAGATGGGCATAGGTCGAGATCGAGTGAAATTCACAGGCTCGGGTTTTGCGCCATCAGTTGACTTGAAGGACAAGCCCAAGCCAGAATCCACAAAGGATGCAGCAGAGGCACTGTCTGGCTTGACATCGTAGGGAGGTCCCGAGAACATGTCATCCTCATAGATCTCGTTGTCGGGGATAGCAGAGAGCTGGCGGAACTGCTGGGGTGGAGACATGGCGAGAGCCTTGGCCCAGGGGAACGAACCACCATTGTCAAGCTGGGGCGTGGAAATGGATGGTGTTCGGAGAGGCTCGCGGTTGGCGCCGACAGCGACGACATCACGCTCCTCGGTGCAGAAGTCATCGAGGCTCTCGTCATCAATGGTGAAGCTGATGACACGCTCCAACGCATCCTTGACGGCACCGAGGTCGCGCTTCTCAGGGTCAATGGCCAGGCACTGCCTAATGACCTCAAAGGTATCTTGCGACATGTTGGGAAAGACGTCGAAGAGACTCTGACGGTCAAGGGCAAAGTCGGCGTAGAGAGGGTCTGAGGAAGAGGGTACGGCAAAAGGGTTGCGTTGGAACAGGATGTTGAGGAGGACGATGCCAATGGCCCAGATGTCGGCCTTTGCAGTCGAGTAGCCAGTGTTGGAGGGGTCGTACTGCTCAGGAGCCATGTAACGGTCGCTGCCGACAGCAATCTCGTAAGACCAGGGGTCAGAAGTGGCAAGACCAAAGTCGCCAAGCTTCATGGAGCCATCCTGGGTAAGGAAAATGTTCTCAGGCTTGATGTCGCGGTGGTAGATTCCCTTTGAGTGGATGAAGTCGACAGCATCGACAAGCTGCATCATGAAGTCACGCACATGCTCAGTCTCGAGAGGGCCCTTGCCATTGCGAATGGCTTCGTACAGATCACCATTGGAGCAGAACTCAAGCACAAGGTAGATGTGGTTCTGGGTCTCAAAAGACTGGAGCAGGTTGACAACATTGGAGTGATCACCAAGACGCAGGTGAACACCAAGCTCTTCGGAGCGCTCATCGACTGCAAAGGCGGAAGGGCAGTTGATGGCGGCCGAACTCTTGGTAATGACCTTGACAGCAACATGGTCGCCAGTTACAAGATCCTTGGCCTGGAAGACCATGCCAAAGGAGCCATTGTTAAGAGGAGAGATTGTTTCATACCGTCCATTGAGTACAACGCCTTCGTGAAGATGATCGCGCATGCACTCCATGAGGGATGTTTGGGGGGTGGAGAACTGGAGGGGAAAGGGCCGAAGGGAAAACTCAAAGAGGTCTACCCGGTGGCTGTGACGGTGCAGGCGGATGTGAAAGCCGCCAAACAAACAAGGAAGAAAACGGAAAGGTAAAAGCTCGATATCAAAAGTAAACAATGGGTCAACAGCCGTCAGCCCAAAAGCGATACTCTATCAGACTTTTAGGTGACTGTGAAATGTCGAAGATAGCGATAATATGGTTTGTAGCGGAGTCGGAAAAGAGACGAAAAAGTTGCCGAGGAGAGATGTCGTAAGGTAACAGCGAGGCCGTTTGGGTGAAACTAAAAAGCAAAGTCGTCGGTGATATGCACAGGTGGTGTCCGTCGACGGAAAAGACAAGGAAAGGTTCAAGAGAGTGTGGTTCTCATTTGCCGGTATTAACTGCGTATGGATGACTCGAGTCAACGAGCTATCGGAGGGAGCGGCAGGTGATGAGATGGAGTCGTGGACGTCCAGATAGGAAGAGGGATCGCTGCGTAAGAGAGGAAGGAAGAGAGAGAGAAAGAGTCGTAACGCGTGGAGGGAGGATCGTCGGTAGGCAGACAGTGGGTTGTTGTCTGATGACGCGGTTGGCAGCGTGAGTCAAGTGCACGGGCCCACGTAAGGAGAGCTAGCGGGTGTCGGATAAAGAGGGGGTTTGATGAGGCTAGCTGGCGACAAGCTGAGAGGGAGAATGTAGATTGTCTGGTGGGTGAAGCTCGGAGCGGCGCAGGTCGTGAGCCTGAGGAGTGGTGAGGCAGGAGAGGGGTTGTGGGTGTGGGTGTGTTTGGCTAGCTGGCTGTCTGACGGGTGTTGGAATGGCCTGCAGCTCGCTCTCTCTGTCACATCAAAACAAAGGCCCGGCGATGGCGGCTAGGTGGTTGAGTGCCAAAGAGCAGAGCAAGAGGGCGGGGCGATTGTGGCAGAGGGAGGCTGTGGGCCAAGGCGAGGTAAGGGGGGGGGTTGGCAGACGTTGTTGTTGGCGGTGTTGACGTATGGGTAAGCTGCACAGCGGTTGCGGAAGGAGCGAGCGGAAGGCGAGTATTATTAAGGGCAGCAGCGGTAGGTGAGGCGGAAGGCGGAGAGGGCGGAGGAGGAGACGATGGCGGTGGAGAGAAGCAACGCTAGAGCTTGCGAACAACGACGAGAGCAGAGATGGGTACGTGTTATGGAGGCATCGGGAGACGGTGGTGAGGTGAGGAAACGGATGGCGGACGGGCATCCTGGCTATTAGAGGGCAGCGCCAGGAGCAGGCGCAGCTCTTTGGGGGGGGACCCGCTTGCAGCAGGGCGGCGTCGAGGCTAGCCGGGGTAGGGGAGCAGGAGGCTAGGGCGCCGCTGCGAGCTACGTGGCTTGCATCACCAGGTGCTAAAGCAGCGTGGCCACGCCCCCCCCCCCCGTCGGAACCGCCACTGGACTGCTGCCAACTCGGGACTTGCCAACTTTCCATGGCCTTCGGTCTCTTTCCATGGCTCGTCACGGCGGCGTCGGACGAGGGAGGGCGCACTCGCTGTGCTCGCTGTCCGCTGGCTGCTGTCCGCCAGCTTCGGAGGCTCGTCTTGTCGCCAGGCCCGTCTCACACGGCAGTCCTTGCTGGTGCTGCATCATGGCTCTCATCAGTGGAGCCACCCACCCCCCGTGTGCGTGCTCGTCGCTGCCTCTGCCCCCGTTGCAGGTGCACGCTGCACGTCTGGCCGGACGGGTCCCGCTGCGGTGATGACGGTGGGACGGACAAAGACGTCGTCTGAAACATTGGCCGTGGCTGCCGACTGCCTGCCTGTACACTCAGACGAGTCCACGTACTGAGACTATCCTTACTCACATAGCTGCTAGTAGTCTGCTAGTAGTATAACATGGAGCACACACTCCCTCGACCACGCACACGCACACGCACTCGCACACGCACACGCACACGCAGACAGAGGGCGCACAATCCAGACCACCAGCTGTCGTGTGCCAATGCAGGCTTAGCCCCCCAAGCGCCGCCTCCATGGCCGCTGCTGATCTGGGTCGGGTGCATTGCGCTCCCAAGCGGCCACCTGGCCTTTGATTGGTGCTGCCTGCAGCCCGTCTGCTGCCCTCGACCACTCGACTGCCTGCTCCAACACCGCCGTTATCTGTGGTTTCGTGATGCTTGCCACCTCGTCTCGCCGCTGTACTGAGCCGCATGCCATGTCGTGTGAGCATGGAGCGGTTGCCCGCCATGCAACCCACTGCCATGCCATCCAGGGGCTTTCTCGCCGCCACCCCTCCCCAATCCACCATGACAAGTGTTTCGGCTGTCGGCGGTCGGAGCCTGTCATTGGCCGCGCCCTGCTGCTTGTCCGCCATCGACCCGTCGCCGCCAAGCTCGGTGGGTAGCGGCAAAATATAGGAATCCGGGGAAAGCTTATGCGACTGCAAAGCCCTTTTGTGCCTTGCCGCCTCGCGGCCTTGCAGTCAGCGTGAGCCGGTTGAGTGATTATCGTCGCAATGGCATAATGCCAGGTCAGCGCCCTGAAACACAGACACGATCTGCATCCCTCATGGGGGCCCGATGCGCGAACCAGAGCACAAGCCGCTTCTTACTCCATGTGCCTACATGGGAGTAACCAAGTGAGCATCCAAGTGTACATGCTACATGCCATCATCGCCGTCCTTGTCGTGCTGTCCATTGCCCCGTCGCCGTCAGAGTACTGCCGAGCTGGGACTCGTGGTGCACGCTTCGCATTACCCTATCCTGCTCTACACCAACTTGGTCAATAAGACGCGCAGTAGGCCGGCACTAGGTTGCAGTAGATTGCAGCAAATGGCAGCAGCGAGCCACCCAGCCAGCGTCTTGGACAAGCTACTACTGCAGCTTGCATGCAAACGGGACATTTCCTTGTCCCCACTTGTTGTACCCGTCCCAGGGCAACCCCGTGGCGGTGTACGCCTACTTTATACATGTAGGTCAATGTAGGTGTACGAGGACGAGGAGTAGTGTAGGCCTCTCAATCCACATAGGCCAGCGACTACAATTGCAGACAGCGCACGGCCACGGCCAGCCTATAGGGCTTTGGACATTTCGCTGCTAGCGCCGCCCATGTGCTGCCCGCGACACGGCGACTTTGATGTGTGGGTCGTTCTCCAAGCCGTCTGCCCATCGACGACATCGAGCATCAAGGCGGCCACATGCTAGCCAGGTACTCCCGTCCATCTCACGGCATTCACGCCCCATATCCATCGACAAGTCGAGACATAGCATCAGATAGACAACGTCGGTGAGCGCCTCAGCCCAATGTCAGCCTCACAACACTGGTTCCATGGAACACAGCCGGGCACAGAGCCACCCTGACAGCTGTCATCGCACCATGGATGACTCCTGCCTATTGCAAAAATTTTCCCCTCGACGACAGCTTCACGGCTGTCAAGCCGCTTCCGGCTCCAATCCATGTGCAGAAGAAAAATTTTCATCTCTCTTGTTGAACAATATCAGGTTTCCAGCCTGACCGCTATATGTTTTGATGTTGCTTGTCTTACCACTCGCACCAGTCAGCTGCCAGAACAGCCACACGACACCACCCGTCCATCCTCACAGTTGAGGCGCTACACGGCACACTCTGTCGCTTCACCGCCATTCACTGTCCTGCTTTTGACGACCACAACAACAACAACAACCACGACATTGACGGTAACGACAACGACAGCAGCAACAGCAACAGCAAGAATAACAACACCGTCAGACGTCCAGCACCATGTGTGCCGCATCGCTCGATCCGGCGCGTTGGAGCCAAGCAGAGGTTGTGTTGCTTGATATCGGTATGTCGCAGAGCTGTCTTCAAGTCGCTGTTGGTGCATGACCATGTACACATGTACATTCACCTACAACACGTACACGTACCCGCACACGCCATGTTTTGCCTCAGCCAAATAGCCATTGTTGTTGCTAGTCACACACGCACCTGCTAGTAATATTGTAAATGCACACCTGTACTGACATGGGCACGCAGAGGGCACCATCTCGAGCATCTCATTCGTCAAGGATGTCATGGTAAGCCTAAATTCTTCTGCCCTTGGCCTCCCATGTCGCTGCTTCCCCGCATTCGGCAGCGCAACCACCACTGCCGGGGCAACATCGCCAAATATGTCGACAATGACGCTGGGCGGGGCCTCGACGTCGTCGCCAGGCCGTTCGTCGGTCATGTAGCCTCCCGTCCATCTCTGCCCCCTTCGTTCTAGACGCTGTCGTGCTCTCTGCCTGCCTCCTCCAGCCATGGCCATCCCGCCACCCGTTTCCGTCATCTGTCACGCGAGACGGTACTGGTGGTGGGGCCTCCTCCCCGTTGCGCTGTGTGCGTGTGCGTGTGTGTGTGCTCACAATAGCCGCAGTACCCGTATGCACTTGACAGTCTCACAAGACTGGCACGCCATTCATGGGCTGATCCCGACTTCCAATCCCTCATTGCCGCCTTTCCAGACGACACCAAGCAGAGCCCCGATGCTCTGCTCGCCCACGTACAAGACCTGACACGGCACGACATTAAAGCAGTGTATTTGAAGCAACTACAAGGTGGGTTACAAATGAATCCGTTTCAACCTCGTCGGCGACCCTAGTCCCATCTCTTGCCCGCCGCCTCGTGCCAGGACCCTCGCTGGATCATCGCCACCAAGCGCCGACACCGCGCTGCTCTAAACACACTAGTCCCACCGACTTCATCTCTTGATTCGATCGGCCACTCACCACCGGTTGCTTTATCGCGATAGTCGCCATCCTACTCCAGCCACCCACCAATCGTCCAAACCCTCTTTCGTCAGCTCGACGCCGCTTTCAGCTCGGCCTCCTGCAGCACAACGCAACTCTTCCCTTCTATCTCGTCACTTTGCGCCCTGCTGGCGCACTATCGTAGCACATGCCCTTTGTCTTTGATAGCACTGCTGGCATGCTCCACTCAAACTGACTCTTCTCTTTTTGCGCAGGACATCTTTGGACCACTGGCTTCCGCAACGGTCATCTCAAGACCCCACTGTTTGACGATGTGGTCCCCACGCTAGAAGCTTGGAAAGCTGCTGGCAAGACACTGGCCATCTTCTCCTCCGGCAGCGTGCAGGCACAGCTCCAGTTCTTTTCCTACGTCAAAGATGGAGACGTGACGAGAGACATCAAGCCTCTCTTCTCTGCCCACTACGATACCGTCAATGCAGGCCCCAAGATGGACAAAGCTTCTTACGATAAGATATGCTCCGAGCTAGGAAAGCCTCCCTCCAAGGTTGTGTTTTTGACAGACAACGTAAAAGGTATGTTGGCCTTCTCCACTTGTCCTGAAACAACACGCTACCCACCATCTTTGCCGATTGCACCCACCCACTGTAATACCCCTCCTTCCCCCCTTCCATTACCCGATTCGTCGGTCGATCATCACACCATCACGCACCGGCCCTGACTACAAGTACCCACATGTGTATCTACACATGTATGGTACATGCTCCGTCATGCGACATACAAATGTCCCTCAATGTCCCACTACCTTTTTATTTGCCCACATGGACTACAGAAAAAAAAGGGCCTCATGTAACTTATCCGTCACGCGATCCCGCGCACCCCCCCACTTGCATTGCTGTCGCATGTTTCATACCACAAGTAACCACCGGCTATGGTACTAACACGTTTCTTCTGCAACAGAGGCTGAAGCGGCAATCGAGGCCAACGTCTACGCTGTTGTTGTCGACCGTCCGGGCAATGCGCCGCTGTCTGATGCGTCAAAGGCGAGGTTCCCAGTCATTGAAAGATTGACGGACCTGCCGTGAGTCGAGGTCTGATACCCGTCTCACCCTGTCCTCTGGTTATGACATCAGATACTCTTCTCATCGCCCAAACTCGTGTTTGCAAATGCTGTAATGTTAAACCCGAATACCAGTATTTGAGTGCTCAAAGTGGGCAGAAAAGCATATGTTCACCATTCGATTGCCCTACTGTGCTTTCCGCATAAATTCCATCCCTAGTACTGCATTCGTTGTACACACCTCACCTCGCTATGGGCCGACAAACTGATTCAAGCTCCTCACCGCTCGACTTCGTGTCTTTCCTCTTGCTCTCTTTCTGCCGTCCACGTACTTGTTTTCCTCGTGGCACTACACCAGCGTCTCTTCCGCAACCCGCTGAATCCACTCAGCCGTCTCAACCACCTTGCTCAGGAAAGGGCTATGCCCACTCTTGATCCTCGTAACATGCATGATTGCGCCCGCCTCTTCCGCCGCCTTGACCATCCCCTCCTGTGCAGCTGGGGGCAACGCCAAATCGTCCTGGCAAAGCAGATAGCTACTCGGAATGTGCTTCCATGCTGCATACGTCGTCGGCGTGGTGAATGACGCGATACCCTGGGACTTCAGACCCGCAGCCCAATGCTTTTGCTCCTCGTCTGAGAGATCGTTGTAAAAAAGCTCGGGTGTTGTGCAGGTGGCATTAGGACCATCGGGAACAAATGTGGGCGACGGAGACTTGTGCGCCGTGCTCATGAGAGTCCTACCCTCGGGCAGGACAAAACTCGCCATGAACGCTATTCTGACGACGCCGCCTTTGAGCCCCTGGGCCTCGCGCTCTTCCTTGCTCAGGCCCTTGAGCCCAGTGCCCGTTACCACGCCGCCCCAACTATGAGGGGCAACAATGACATCGTTGCCCTTCCCAATGGCTTCTTCCACTGTGCGCCGCAGAACCCCAATGTCTTCACTGAGGTCGCTAGGCGGGTTGGGATTGCCAACCGATGCCATTTGCTGGCAATGCGTTGTATAACCCAGGGCTTGCAGCTTCTCCATCAACGGGACCATGCACGCTGGGGTGTGTGCCGCCCCGGGGACCAGCACGATATGAGGCTTAGTCATACTCGATGTGGGGTTGGGGGAACGTTGGAAACCGTTCGAGCGAGGGGCGGGGTGCGTTCGGTCAAATATCGATGCTACGATCCGGTAGGGAAAATGACACTGAGGAATCAAATCGTCAATCGGAACGTGTCGGTGCCGCTGAGTCGGTGGCCAACGTCAAGGGGATAGATAGGTTTGGATATCAGGCATCCATACACAGTAAGCTTGTGTAGGCCTGTGGATCCCTCCTCTGAAAATAGTTAGAGTTAGCCGTTGCACAGGACGTGGCTAGCCAGGACTCGCTGCTGTAGTGTAGCAGCCTACGTGTTCATTCAATCCGCATGGTAGCGACTGAGCACGCGCGTACGTACTCAACACAGTACTAACTTCGCTGGGATGGCTTCTTCAGACACCAATCAGCGTGTACAGGTACTAGCGCTGCTGAGTTAGTGTTGCCAACGTGCTGGGTATTCTCACGTAATCCAGTCTCTTTCCGTCTGGCTAAACAGGGTTATACTCCTGAGGCACTCAAGTTGCAACGCCGTCCAAGAATTATGCCAGAATCCTGGACTTCCAAAACTCCGGTTCAAATGGCCAAGGGTAGTATGTAAGTAATCAGAAGAGGTGGCTTCGGTGCAATTGATCATGAAACTCTCGTGGTTGGATCCTGGTGGTTGGGAGTAAGGAGGCTCTTGCCCAGGCAAATATGTTCCGAGTGTCTGGCTTCGGCAATTGTCCACCAACTACGCAGTTACTTTTCTGGAAAAGTCATGGGTGCTCCCTTGCTTGTGTTCTCCTTTGCGCTCATGGCTTCGCAATCGGTCCGTCGACGTCCAACTTTAAAATCACGTAGTATCCTGTCTCTTAAAGCTGGCCCAACCGAATGTTATTGCCCCTATTGAACTAATCGACATCAGGAGCCTGTAGTACATGTGTCATGACACCATTATCTCTGTCGAGGTATGCTACTGTGGGGTACTGGTACTGAGTCCTAAAGTATAATCCATACCACTATATGACAAGTGCCAACTTCGACATGTGAGCTGACAGTCTCCGTGTTGGCCATGTTTGGCGGTCACGATATGGGCGTGCGTAGGTTTGTGGGGGCTCCGAGGATTCTGTTTCCAGGTTCTGGCTCCATTCCCGATCTTTGAGCCTGATTGTGTTCTACTACCAGGAGATTGATGTGAGGTAGGGTGGTGTACATCCTTCGGAATATTCGTCATCCATATTGATATAAGCCGTTGTCCATGTTGTCGAGTTTGCACCAGAGGGTATCCATGGGCGTCCTGTATGGATTTCGTGTGCGAAAGTGGTTTATGGAAAAAGTTGCAAATCGAAAATGTGGTATCGTGTGTGGTGTGGGGACTGATGGGGACTAGCTGGTTAGCGAGACAGGCACCAGGGCAGTTTTGAACAACACGGCAGCCAATGACAGATCGATATCCGTTGTCCGTCAGAGTTTGTGCGCTTGTCGGAGCACGTACAGCATTTATCACGTCGCAAAACCATCTCTTGTAAATATATACAATCAAATTGAATTTGGGTATTACTGCATCTTTGTCATAACCCGAAGTTGGTGTAGTGGGACGCCTCCAACGCCGAGTGCCCAGTTCATCCACTCTGGGCATGGATCTTGTGGTACTGTATCGCTCACTGCATGCACGGTTTTAAAAGAACCTCCACCAAATGAAAACAATAATGATGAAGGCAAGTCCACCAACAGGTCCGTACTGTGTGTTGGTTAGTGTTCCAGCTTGCCAGTATCCCATGCTTGCCGCGGTAACTCACCTGTTTAAGCAGTAGCTCCCAATTGATACGCACAGCTGCCTTCTTGTACTTTCTGCTGTCTTCGCGTAGCCGACTCGAAATGTCGCCCATCCTCTCCAGGCTGTCTCCACGATAGAGCAGATCTTCAATGTTCTTGGTCATTACCTTTGTGACATCCTTCAACTCATCATTCAGTTTATCAAGGTTTTGTGTCGCTCTTGAATCTTGGTATGTCTTCTTTGTGCGCTGAATAAAGGTGTCGAATTCTACGAAGGCATACGGGCGGCAAGTTGGCGAGAGATATTGCTGGGGCTGATAGGTGGTGGTGAATTCTCGCGAGAGATCGGACAAGTAGGTGAAGGCAAGCTTGCGGGGGTAAGAGCGGTCGCATATGCAGAGGAAGCAGAGGTCGCCTTCGATTAGGTAGCTGGTGACAAGGCGTTAGCATGAGTCGTGGCGGCTCTACCCCTGTTGCGAGAAAGAAGAGGAAGGCAGAAGGGGGCATTACTGGTATGTGTAGCTGCCGCTCTCTATGCTTGCTTGTGGCTCCGAGTTGCGGTTCAGGCGGCGCTGGACGAGCTTTACCTTGCCCTTGACCTCATTGAATTCGGCGTCTGTCTGGGGAACAGTGAGCGTTGGTTATGGAAGCCGCGCGCAGTCTTGGAATGGACAGTACCTGCTCGTCATCGACTGAGGCGGTCAATATCAGGCCTGCAGATCGGTCAGAACTCCGGCATATGCCTGCTCATTTATGATGCTGTCACCAACCATCCAGCCGGGATATCATCGTGTGTTTAATCATGTTGGCGGCGTGGGTGTCGGGCCAGGGCTATGTGCTATGCAGTGTCGTTTATTCGCCCAGAAACGCTACAGGTGCGTTTTGTTGGGGGGTAGCAGATACAAATTCAGGCTACGTGTCGGCGTTGGTTCAAGCCAGACAGCGGAACATGACGATGTGGAAAGGGTTCGGGAGAGCGCACAGACGCACCAACGCCATGTCTACGATTAGTACTTATGTCTACTTTGTCTATACCATGCCACGGCACGTGAATGCGACAACATCCATGTACTCTCGACACCATGCATCAAGTGATATGAGTAAAGCTGACGTCCTGCTGCTCCTTCACTCCCTCGCCTCTGCGGTTGGACCTTCATAACATTAATCCAGACACTTGACATTGGCCCAACACTACTATTATTACTATCTCGTGCGTCGTTTGCCTACCAGATTTCTATTCACCTCTACTGCTCGCGACTGCCTTGCATTTTTCAGGACAAGATGTCGCTACCTATGCGGTATGTTACGTATCTTCCACCGTTTGCCAAGATTGTTGCCTTCCCACTGTTTCCGCTTCACGCCGACTGCTGAATAGCTATTGTCCTTTCCTCTCCAACACGACATTAGCCTCGTACCGTTTCTCATACCCCATCTGACCGATTCCTAACACGTAGTCCTAGATCTCCTTCTAAAGAGTCGACTACTTCACACCACCCGCTGCCGACTACAGTTTTGCTTCCAGTGAACGTAATGAGCTCAACACACCATGAAACCAATAAATCTTCTCCCAAGACACCAGGCATGGAAACTGAAGTATCGCAGATAGAAGCCATGTCTTCATCTCTGACTTCTCAGCCGACTTCTCCCGACTCTTCGACCCAGGCGCAACATGCACAGGCGCCCCAGCCCGAACCAACCACCACTTCAACCGCCAATACAGGTGCCAATTGCGCGGCGAGGGAAAGTCCGAAGAGGACTCGTGAAGAGGATGATGAAATGCCATCTGCATCCAGTACGCCACATCCAAAAAGGATTAACAACAAGGCAAGCGCGACACCAGACAGCAAGGCAACTATACAGAAGCCTGCCCGCAAGAAGTCTGCGCCTCAGAAAACGGCTGCACCAACACCCTCCAGGTCGCAACCTTCAAGAAGCCGCAAAGCCCCTGAGCGCTTCGAAGACTTTGAGGAGAAAACAACCAAAGCTCTCCTAAGCAAGAAGGGTACCAGTAAAGTTTTTGACTCCGTCTTCATCACAACAAATTCCACTAGCCGCTTGGTCAAAGCAGATATATACGCAAGTTCAGTTGCTCCCACACAGCTTCACCCAGCTGACACAACACAGCATATGCTTCTCGAAGGCCCAGCCTGGTCATGTCTTAATGCAGAACAGCAAAGCAGTCTCATTGCCATGTTGCCTCAGGACAGTACAAACCAAGGTCTGTTGACCAAGATCAACGCTGGCGAAACGGAAGGCACACGACCATCGGCTTTCACTTTATCAAATGACTGTTTCCGTACCGATGTCGCAAAGTTCAAGGAAGATCTCAAGAACGGTCATTTGGCCAAAACTTGGCAGACCGCTGCTGAACAGGCAGTCATTGAGCGCGCGGCAGGAGAGTATGACTCGTGGAAAGGTCAAGAAGCAGAATCCTGGTGGGGTCAAAAAAGCGTATAAAGCATCGTTATTCAGCACCGCCTGCCACCAGACCAAGGTGGGTAGCTTCGTGTCTATAATCTGAGTTCACATGTGCAATATGTAATGTGGCGTTCAGAGATGTACTTTGGCCCTCTATTCCGGCGTTTACAAAAAATTCCTTTACTTGAAGTATGACCCACAATAGTCGGAGCTCCTTTGTAATTCAAGACTCCCCTAATCAATTATGTATCGGGCTTATGACACCATTTCGATGCTGAATCCACATCGACAGTCGTCTTTCTGATCACACTGTCCTCATGCTCCGATACACAGTCTGATACAAATGGCTCTTCTTCCTCGTCTTAGGCTCCTTCCCTTCTCTGAAAACGTCCGTGTCCGAGTGCTTGTTGCCATTTGTTTCTTACAGTGCATGTTTTACAAGCGGCATTTTTGAGGACCTGTTATAGCAAAAAGTCTCATTCGCACATATTTGCACGCATTATCATTTAGTCCCTCACATCAGGAAGAAGAAGAGAGAAAAGGGAAAGTAGGACAACAATATAATAAGTCGCATTGAGTTCAGTCCAGGCACTGCACCTACAGGCGCAGCATCCCCATGTACAAAGACAAGTCCCAAAATATACATTTGAAGAGAATCCCCATTTTAATCATCAATCACAGGCCCAAACATGCTCAAAACTGGAGTGTCGCACCAGCAACACCAACAACAGCAGCCTTGACATCCTTGGCATCAAGAAGCTGGGGGACCGCATATGGCGCCTTTGTCAACGTACCCAAAGGCGCAGTGTTGCTGCTGTTACCAAAGTCATTGCCAGAGGCGACCGCGAAGCCATCGTCGATAGTGTACAGCGCCTTCATGGGGTTGACCCAGACGTTGTTCTGGACAAGGATCTGTGCGCCTTGGCGTACGTTGATGCCGTCGTTGACGTCTTCGTAATAGTTGTTGTAGATATGGCCGGTACCAAAGCGGATAGATGGGGTGCGCGAGTTGATGTTGCGCCAGTAGTTGTTGTTGTACGTGACAGTGAGGTGGCCCTTGTCTTCGGCACCGTTCTTGTCAGAGTGTCCCACGAGCGAGCACTTCCAGTGGTCGTGTAGGTAGCTATTAGAGACGGTAACAAAGTCGGCTGCGTGTGTGATATCGATTAGGCCGTCGTAGTAATCCTTGTCGTGGGACCTGTCCGATGACACTTCGACATGATCAACCCAGACGTTCTGGGCCTTCTGAATCGCAATGGCGTCGCCATGTACAACCTTTCGGACGACAACATTGCGGATGATAACGTTCTTGACGTCTTTGGCTGTGAGTGTGAAATCAGTGAGGACAACGGATGAGTCCTTGCCAATGACTGATTTGTTGCTACCAATGTGGACATTCTCTCCATTTCCAGTGATGGGTCCAGTGATGACAACAATAGCCGCCGCATCGCCCTTGACAGCAGCCTCGAGGTCAGCAAGAGTGGCGACTTTGACGACCTTGCCTCCCTTGCCTCCCGATGTGCCTCCATTTGTGGTAGCAAAACCAGTGGTTGCAACATCCTCTAGAGACGCTTGGCGCTTGACAAAACCCGAGGGTGCTGCCAGAGTAGAAACGGCCATGAGGCCAAGTGATAAGACTGAAAACTTCATTGTAGTAGCAATTTATTGCTGAAAATTGATATGAAGTGGATAGAAAAGCCGAAGCACTGAATCTATTCCTGTTGATGAGAGTGGAACAGCTGTGTCTTTGCAGATCTATGGGGAATTCACGTCGGACCTTTATACAAGACATATCAACCCAACTCCTCATCTATTTTACCTAGTGCTTCCCCAGGCTTGGTAAAGCTTCTATGGATCCAAGCTTCCCAAGCATCTAATCCTAGGCTATATTGCACCAATGGCTTCTCGTGAAGTAGTCCAAAAAGGCTCAAGCTACTACTTTTAGCTCCGGATAATTGCCCCTTCTTTACCAGGGTATGGAGAGGGGGCAAGCTACGACAGGTGTTGACGTTTTCCTCGGCGCTTAGGCGGAATGTTTCAAGTAGCACGACTAACCCAGGAGTGTACGAATATCTCCGCTTCCCCAGTGAGCGAGATTAAAAGGATCCTTGTTTGAAATTTCCCATGAAATGTCGATACAAGTTGATAATTTTCGCTATGGGAGAATGCAACACTCAGTAGCTCCCAATTGATGTAGGTAGCGATGGAAACAGACACATGACATGATAATAAAGGCCGTTACAAAAAGCAGTCTTTGAATCCTTGCAACCGACAGTAAAAACATGTGGCTATGCGATCTTCCACGGTGAAATTTAATCTGAGATCCTTCCAGAAGCGAGTAAGTATACGAGGGGGAAACATGTAGACCACAGCTCCAGTCAGGCCACGAGTCATGCAGCATCCATCATGCACCTGTCTACTAGTAAGTAACCAGCCAGTCTCCCCACGCCCAACATTTGAGATGAATTACGGAAAAACCTATTCCGTCAACACAGCATCATTGCCAATCACTACCCACAGCAACACAAGTCGTGTTACCACCGAATCGCTGCAAAATTAGCACCCTTGAACAATTTCAAAATGAACTACTGCTGCAATATCAAAGGCGTGAGCTAGGTAGTGAGATGCTGCCCATAAACAGTCGCATTGATGTGGATCACGTGGAGCCCTGCGCAACATCTAGCTGGTACGATAAGGTGCTTCGGAGCCTAAGACGATCACTGTCAGATAAGGCAAGGGGAGCGAGAAGAGTGAAATGAATACGAAGAGGCCTTTACGGACCCCCTGCTAATATGTTTCGAAGACGCCGAACACCTGTTCCATTTGCTCATTGGAAGAGTGTACAATCTGAGCATTTGGAAAATACTGCATGTCGATCTGTCATACTGGTCGGCATGCTTCATAAAATAATAACGGTAAAAGAGTGGTGCGTCAAAACTCGCGCAGGCTTTTCTTGTCCTCTGGATCGACGGGAAAACTAGGCTCTCCGCTATTCGTGCGAAGAGCCGAAAATTCATTGGACTCCTGTACTTCGGTAACCACTTGGCCGAGGAACGTATTGGAATCAATAAAACAAGGCTCGACATCACATACATCAATGTAGACATACTTACACATACACTAGTCCCACAAACCGAAGAACAATGGTTCGCGTCACGTGTTGCTGTGACATCATCGCCCAAAGCAGTAACCTCTACCTAAAGCTCTCAAGGGTTCACCTGAAAGATGCATAGTTCAAGGCAGCAACAACCCTTTTTCACACCGTGCCCATAATTTAAGACATTCTCAAGAACGACAAATCGCGAATACGAGTGCTGGATTTGTTCGCTCTATGTTACTATCCCTGATCCAACAACGAGACAAGACTCCAAAACCACAAGCAAAGTGACTCACAAAGCCGTGAAGCTACCGGGCAACACATCTTTCCACAATGCCCCCAATCCCAATTCACAAGAACTCACCCATTGCGCCAATTACGGCCGCAAAAGCAGACGCCATAACGCCCGAGACTGCGTCCTCGAACAACCCCACAACCAGCCCACCTCCTACCCGTACCACGCCCGCCTATGTTCCCGCAACAACTACACAATCGTCGTCGTCGCCTCCCGCACCACAGCCCGGCGCCCGCCCTGCCGCCCCCACAGCGCCAATTAGCAGCGACGGGTACAACACCAATGGGACACCAGCGCCCCCACAGCCGGGTCCTACAGCAACAGTAGTGACAACAGAAACACGACAAGTCGGTCCGCCTCCCCAGTTTAGCCGCCCGCCGCCTTCGGACTCGATGCTGGCAGGCCGGTCAACAGTGACTACGACGAATCCTACCTTGTCTACGGCTAGCAAGCCTGGCCCAACGACGCTGAATTTTGGTCCTGCGGCTTCGCCCTTTCAAACACAAGACTCTGGGAATGCGGTACCACAGCCTACAAGAACGAGTTTGGAGCATCCTCCAGGCTATGTCCAAGCACCAGACAACGCCCCCTACACTGTTGGAGGCGGCATTGGTGCGCCGAGCGGAGCGGGCCAAGGTGATGGAGGACAAGGCGAGGGCGTGGGAGCACAAGCCTGGCAGTTGTTGAGCAAGGCAGGAGAAGCGCTAAAGAAGGGCGAGGAGAATGTATGGAAGGCCATCAACAACAAAAATGGCGGTGGCTTCTAACCGAGATGGTCATCATGGACAGTGTTAGTGAAATACCAAACTCATAGTCAACCCAGTATCCATTCAGACATCACATCGCAAGAGGCACAAGTTTTGTACAAAGAAACCCATGACTTTCTATTGACCACTATTTTCCCCATTGCACCGAGCGATGAAAAGAGGAAGTACAGTCAAAAACAGACAAAGCAATGCAAGCCGGATATGACGTGTGAATGTTGTAAAGTACAAGAGTGTGTTACCACTCCGGGGTCGTGCTTTGCGTCAGCAAGAGCAATCGTCGGCCCATTGGACGTCTAATTGCTCCAACACGGACACCTCATCCCCATCTCTCACGTCGCAATTAGCTGTTTCCGCCACATAAACGCAGGTTTGGGGTATCGAGGAGGGAAGAGAGGCGCTTAACCGGATCCACCCTTGAACTTCTTGCCGAAGAGGAGGAGCTGGGCCTGGTCGTAGATGGACAGGACACCGGCACCAGCAACACCACGGAGGATGTTGGCACCAGCACCCTTGAAGAGGGAGGTGACACCCTCAGCGGCGACAATCTGGCGGGCGGCATCCATGGTACCCTTGTACTTGACGGCCTCACCAGAGGTCATCATCATACGACGACGGATGGTGTCGAGAGGGTAGGAGGCGATACCGGCACCAGTGGTGACGGCCCAACCAAGAGCGAAAGAGGCCAAGAAGTTACCCTCGAGGTTACCGGTGAGGAGGACAGGCTTGATCGAGTCGTACATACCGAAGTACAGACCACGGTAGACGACGATACCAGCAACGGAGGGCATGAAACCACGGTAGAGACCAGCAATACCATCGGAAGCGAGGGTCTTCTTGTAGACGTCTACAAGACCGTTGAACTGACGCTCACCACCCTTCT